ACCCTAAACCCTAAACCGACATGCGAAATCCATGAAGCTGTTCAGACCCCGAAGCTTCAGCGACCGTAGCTCCTGCTGTGCCGCAGGGGATCTTGTCCGAGGAAGAGGTGGGAAAGCTAAGGTCACTGGGCTGCCAGGGAGATCCTCAACAGTTGGGTTTAGGGTTTCGGATGCAACAGTAACCCTGAACCTTTAGAGTAGGCTGCAAATGCCGCGCATGTGTGTGTGGGGCAGTGTATGTTTAGTGTTCGGAGTTTAGGGTCCAGGGTAAAGTGTGACGCTTCGGAATTCTCAAGGTTCCAAGCTTTGCAGAAATGCCTTCTCCAAGGCTCTACTGCTTAACGGAGTTAGGGTTTAGGGTTTAGGGAGACTCAATCTGGAAAATTATGAGGTCCAGGAGACTTGGTCAAGGAAGCGGTGTGTTGGGATGTTGGGGTGTGTGCTTGATCATGGCGAGCAGGGTTTGCTGAAGTTTGGTCCCCTTAGACCCGACTTTTTTCGGATCGAAGCCTTTCCCGAACCCTAAATAACCCGCCTTTTTAGGGGTGCTTGTTTGGAGTTCCTTCTAAATGTCCTATATGTCCTGAGAAAGGTATGCTTTCTGAGGTTCAGGTGCGCCTACCACTTCGGTTTAGGGCTCATGCTCCCTCTACCCTGAGAGAGGCCAGTACAGCTTCAGTGAGGAATATTGATCACAGTAAGCAGCCATGTTTGCTGTAAAGGAACAGTGCTTCATTGAAAGATGCTGGGCTCCTTGGGTACCCCCTCAGCCGCGTATTTGCATTGTGTTTTGCAACCTGGATTCGCTACACCAGCTTGCAACGAGTGGTACACGTCTTACTTAAAGCCCAAGGAGTTAACCCTAAACCCTAAATAAAAGTTGGCAACAGCCGCCTTGAGCCAGGCTTTTCTTGCCTTTCAAGCTGGCAGGTTTTGGCTTCAGGGTTCTTGGCTGGCCTCTCCGCAAAGTATACTATTTATATAGAGACCTGGGTATTCATGAACATCACGCCCCTCAATGTTCCCAAAGTAATTCTAGTATAGCATACCCCTGCAAACCCTTCGTTACTCATAAACTGAGGCCCCTATACTTCATGGCACAAAAATCGTGTGTAGAGTTCATAATGCCTGCTTTTTCGTAGTGTCACAACAGAAGCCCTAAACTCCAAACCCTCAACCCTAAACCCTAACTCATCGAGGTCCTTCGCCAGCCAAGCAGCGGCGCGATTGCCGCTCCGTGCCCTCCATCAGGATCGGGGTTTTCGTGCTTAGGGTCTTAGGGTTTCAGGGTTTNNACCCTAAACCCCAAACCCTACAATCTAAACCCTATCGGGTTTTAGTATGTAGGGTTGCCGTGTTCAGGCTTTGAGGGCTTCAGGGCTTTAGGATTGTAGGGTCTCTCTTTTGGGGTGGGTTGTAGGGTATTAGGTGTTTAGGTTTCCGGGCTGGGGGGGCCTTCTGAAAGGAGGACTGTTCGTTCCCTAGACCCCCAACTACCCTCTATT